CCCGTTGGTCGTAAGTTTGATAGTAGCCAAATGCTTGGTGCGTAGAGTTCTGATTGATCCTGGAAGTAATGCGAACATCATGCCAAGGGATACATTTGATCGGCTCGCGATTAAGCAGGATTGGTTAAAATCCACCGGGAATCCTTTACTAGGGTTTGATGGAAAACGAGTGGAGCCCATCGGTATGATGGAGGTAGCGGTACATGCTGCCGAGAGGGTTCTAATGGAAACCTTTGTGGTTATTGAAATTCATCCCTCTTACAATCTTCTGATGGGCAGAGGGTGGATCCACAGAGTTCATGGTGTTCCTTCCACTCTGCATCAAGTAATGAGATGCCTAGGGCCAGACGGGACCAAAGTGATTGACATTCATGGGGACCAGGTTGCAGCTAAAGAACTTTATTCAGTAACGCTGAAGCGTGCCGGAAAAGAGAAAGCTCCCATTCGTTCAGCAAGTCCGAGATAGCAATTATAGGAGCCTCCCTCCAAGCAGAATGGGGAGGGAGAGCCAGTGGACTTGACTGAAGAACCCCTGGTTGATGTGCAGATCGATCAGTTCCGACCGGAACGAACAACCAGAGTGGGGGAACGACTCACTGAGGAGGAGAAGCAGGAGTTAGTTAATTTCTTGTCTCAAAACGTAGATGTATTTGCATGGAGTCATCTAGACATGCTAGGGATTGATCCTTCTGTATCTTGTCACTCCTTGAACGTTAATCCCAATGCAAAACCTGTAAAGCAGAAGCAGCGACAGTTTGCTCCCGAGCGCAACCGGATCATTGCCGAGGAGGTTAACAGGCTGCTTGATGCGAGATTTGTAAGAGAAGTGTACTACCCTGACTGGTTGTCAAATGTTGTCGTTGTGCAGAAGAAGAATGGGAAATGGCGAGTGTGCATTGACTTCACCAATTTAAACAAAGCCTGTCCGAAAGGTAGCTTCCCGCTGCCCAAGATTGATCAAATAGTGGATGCAACTACTGGATATGAACGTTAGACCTTTTTGGATGCTTATTCAGGTTATAATCAGATCCCCATGGACCCTGCTAATGAAGAAAAAACTTCTTTCGTTACCGAACACGGGACGTATTGCTACAAAGTCATGCCATTCGGGCTGAAGAACGCTGGAGCAACTTACCAAAGACTTATTAGCAAAATTTTTAAGGGACAAATAGGGAAGACCGTGGAAGCCTACATTGATGACATGGTAGTAAAACATAAAAAGAAATTTGACCATGTGAAACATTTACGAGACGTATTTGATGTGTTGAGGCAATATGGAATGAAGCTCAATCTAACCAAGTGCTCATTTGGTGTAAGTTCTAGCCAATTCCTGGGGCTCGTGGTTAATCATAGAGGCATCGAGGCAAGCCCTGCCCAAGCAAAAGCTCTGACTAAGAATGCTGAGCCGACGACAGTCAAAGAAGTGTAAACACTTACGGGACGGATCGCTGCACTGAGCCGGTTCATTTCCAAATTGTCAGATCGTTGCAAACCATTTTTTGACACAATACGAAGCCACGACAGGCAAGTTTGGGGAGATGAACAGCGCCTAGCGTTAACTGCTCAGAAAAAGTATATGCAGAACCTTCCGGTCCTGTCAGCTCCAGAACCGGGCGAAAAGCTATTTTTATATCTCGGAGTATCCAGCATCGCGATAAGTGGTGTTTTGATCCGCTATACAGAAGGGAAGTAATATCCAGTGTTCTACGTTAGCAAGACAATGACCGAGGCCGAAAGGCGTTATTCAAAGGCAAAGCGGGTGATATTCTCGCTAGTGCATGCGAAAAGAAAGCTCAGGCATTATTTTGAATTCCATCCTATCATCGTTCTAACCACTTTCCCTATCAGAATAATCCTGCACAAACCAGACTTTTCAGGAAGGATAACGAAGTGGGCTATAGAGTTAAGCTCATTTGATATCACATACGAACCCAGAACAATAGTCAAAGGGTAAGCGGTGGCTGATTTTTTACTAGAATGTGATTCAAAGGACATGGAGGAAGACCTTCGTGGTTGCTTATGGAAACTCTTCGTCGATAGATCCTCAAATCAGATGGGTGCAGGCATTGGGATCAAACTGCAGACGCCAGAAGGTACATCCTTAAGTCAAGCGCTTCGGCTTGAATTCGGAGCCACGAACAATGAGGCGGAGTATGAAGCACTGCTGGCAGGAATTAAGCTCGCCAAGGAGCTGAAGGTCAGGAATTTGACTGTTTTTAGTGATTCGCAGTTAATTGTTCGGCAGGTGAATGGCGAGTATGAAACCAAGGATGAAACGATGGAAGCATATCATTCAGCTGTTATGCGGGAAGCCAAAAACTTTGAAAAAATTGAATTCATTCAAATTCCGAGGGAGCATAAAGGGGTGGCCGATCGGTTAGCATGTAGTGCCTCGGGTTCGGGAGAAACATTTGCAAGGGTGATTCCAGTAGGAATATTAAACCAGCCATCCATTTTCGAAGAACCTTCGGGCTCAGATCCTTAGCAAGTGAATGTTATTCCATATGAGCCAAGCTGGATTGATCCGATCCTAACTTACATTCGGGATGGTACTCTGCCTGAGCAAAGAGATGAGGATAGGAAAATCAAATCGAATGCTGCAAAGTACGCCATAGTGAATAACCAGTTGTACAGAAGATCTTTTTCCAGACCGTACTTAAAGTGTGTCACCCCCACAGAGGCTTGGCAGATACTACGAGCTATTCATAAAGGTGTATGTGGAAACCACTCAGGGGGGAGGTCTTTAGCGCACAAAGCAATGACGCAAGGGTACTTCTTGCCGAATATGTCGCGAGATGCGGAAGAATTGTCCAGAAGGTGCGATAAGTGCCAAAGGTTCGGACCACTGATTCACCAACCACCTGAGGACTTGCACGAAATGGCCACACCATGGCCTTTCGCACAATGGGGGATGGATGTGGTTGGACCTCTACCAACTGTAAGAGCTCAGAATAAGTATGTGCTGCTGGCTACAGATTACTTTACTAAGTGGGTGGAAGCAGAGCCATACCCTAGCGTAACTCAAACTCATGTGAGACGGTTCATTTGGAGTAATATTATTTGCCGGTTTGGTGTTCCGAGGTCAATCGTCATGGATAATGGGACCAACCTTGACTGCAAGCAAGTGAGGGGGTTGTTGGAGGAATATGGAATTAATCAAAAACTGGCGGCAGTAAGTCACCCCCAGGCCAATGGACAGGCGGAAATCATAAATAGAACAATCTTTGCTTGTATTAAGAAGAAACTTGAAGAAAAGAAAGGAAAATGGTTAGATGAACTACCGAACGTCTTATGGGCTTATAGAACGACCCCAAGGCGACTGATTGGAGAAAGTCCATTCGCCATGGCGTATGGTACCGAAGCAGTTATACCGGTCGAGCACTTGGTTTCGATTGTTCGAAGTTTGGCATGGAACTGAAAGCATAATGACAGTATGTTGAGGTTTAACCTCGATTTGTTGGAGGAAAAAAGGGATGCAGCGGCGGTAAGGCTCGCATCCTACCAGTAGACGCTTGCGAATAGCCATAACAAAAAAGTAAAGCACAGAGACTTTACACCCGGTGATCTGGTTCTGAAAAAGAAGGTGGGGATAGTTAAAAAGATGATGCCACCATGAGAAAGTCCATACAGAATTGCAGAATCCCTAGGAAAGGGGGCATATACCTTAGAGACCATGGCCGGAAGGCTGGTTAACAAGCCTTGGAATGCTACTTCTCTAAAGAGGTATTATCAATGAAAAGTAGAATTTCAATATTGAATTTTGTTCATTTTCAATTGAATGCAGGCGAATGTACAAGTTTCTGAGATTTATAAAAATAATATTCCTCTTTAAGAGGTTGATTAAGTAAGAAATAAAAAGCCAAGTGGCAAGTGGCACTCTAGCCGAGCGCCAGGCACCTAAGCAAAGTAAGTGGCAGCTGGCACTATGAGCCGAACGCCAAAAACTTGCTAAGAAATAAAAAGCCAAGTGGCAAATGGCACTCTAGCTAAGCGCCAGGCACCTAAGCAAAGTAAGTGGCAGCTGGCACTATGAGCCGAACGCCAAAAACTTGTTAAGAAATAAAAAGCCAAGTGGCAAGTGGCATTCTAGCCGAGCGCCAGGCACCTAAGCAAAGTAAGTGGCAGCTGGCACTATGAGCCGAACACCAAAAACTTGCCAAAAGAAATCAAGGAGTGAAAGTGGCAAGTGGCACTCTAGTCGAGCGCCAACCACTCAGCAAAATAAGTAGCAGCTGGCACTTTGAGCCGAACGCCAAAAACTTGCCAAAAGAAATCAAGGAGTGAAAGTGGCAAGTGGCACTCTATCCAAACGCCAACCGATCAGCAAAGTAAGTAGCCTTCGGCACCATGAGCTGAACGCCAAAAACTTGCACAAAAAACTACTTTTGTTGTGGCACGTACAGGGAAGAACTAGATTAAATCATTAAATCAGAGAATTTACAGAAAGAGTTTGATCAGAAGTCGTCTATCTCATTAATAATAAAATTTAAAGAGTTATAAAAACGATGAGCTTCTTGATAGTGCTGGACGGTCTCCACATCATTGTTGGTGTCACCGTCCTCATAGGGAGGAAAGTCGAGCTGAATGACAGAATCGTTCTGCTGAGTCTTATCCTCAATAGCGTCGGAAGAATCATTCCGCTGAGGGTTATCATCAGCAGCAGTAACAGATGGAGTCATGGTGGACAGAGGAAGAATGTCCATAGTCAGAGCAGCAGAAGGAGTAGGAGTGATCCTGGAAGAGGCAATCTCTTGGCACTCATCAAATATGCCCTCAGCAGCGGTGGAGTCTGGATCAGCATAAGTACCCGGAGGGTCAATCTCCAGCTCCCTGTCAACATTATCAGGGGTAGAACCAATCTGACCCTCACCCGGAACATGATCAGCATAACCCTTTCGGAACCCCTGAGCATATCTGAGGGCCCCAACTCTGGAAAACCGTGCATGCAGAGCTAGCATACGACCATTTACCCTACTAATGGTGTCGAGTAAAGCATTACGCTAGTCTAAAGCCCTTTTCTCAAAGGCCATCCAAGCGGATTGCTCATCACTCAGAAGGCGTAGTAGTTCTTCATTTTCAGCCTTAAAGAATTCCCGCTCGGTGTGCCAGACGCTCTTCTCGAGCTGCAATGCATTCCTCTCATCCTGAAGAGAATCGGTCTCCTTTCTCAGCGAGTCCCTCTCCTTTTCAACCTTACCAAGCTGAACCATCAACCCGGTCTTCTGAGCAGCTAAAGCATCATTCTCCTTATTCGCTGTATTAAGGCTGTCAGAGAGCGTACGAACCTTGGCGTTCACAAGCTCAACCTGCTTTTGCATAGCCATCATCCCGTATAGGGTCTATAGAGATATACAGGACAACTGGTTAAGCCAAGCAGATGGTTAGAAGAAACTAAATGTAAAGACTGTATAAAGATTTATTGACTAAAAGGCAGAAGTTACCTCCATGGCAGATAAGGGAAATCGGCTGAACAGCTTCCTCTAAGACAGACCCTTGGCTACCTCAATGTCCTTGGGAGTCCACATGCTCCTGTAGTATGCCATAACGGTCTGACCATCCTTGAACATGGTCTCGTTCGGTTTTACAGACGATCCGTCTGTTCGAATGAAGCGAGGGTTCCATGGTGCCGTTCATGAGGCAAAGGCATGCCCAGAAGGGGTAGGGGGCCTGGTCTGAGGAGACCTTGCTGGAGGTAGCACATTCGGCCCAGAGGGCCTAACCCTCTGTGACGAGGGAATATCATCGGGGCTGAGGGCACTATCAGGCTGGTGCCTTTTTCCTCCTGCCTTTTCCTGTGAGGAAGCAGTAGTAGAGCCGAGAATATTGCTGATAGAGGGGGTCACATTCGGACTGGCGGTCGCTATGTTGGAGATCAGGTAAATAACCGTCACGATTGGATCGGTGGAAGGAGTGGTATTAGAAAAGGTAGCAGAGGAAGTTACTGAAACTGGTGAAGAATTTGTTGCAGGGGTGATAACAGGTTGGGGGCAGTTTTCCTCCTGCCAAAGGAAGGGATCTGGAGTTGACTCATTGTCCTGCCGAAGGCTGAGAGAGCAAGGAGGTTGTCTGAAGTGAGAAGGTCCGAGCAGGAGGGAACGTTGGTCAGAACGTACTGCTTCAGGTAGTTATCCCTATCCCTGCACACACCGTAGCTCAAATTATCACAAGGAATGCCTAAGGAACGGCATAAGAAAGTACAAAAATGGGGAATGCAAATCTCGTAAGGACAGTCACTCTTATGGGTTTTGTATTTCTTGTAAGAAGAGACATAGCACTCTCCAAAAGCGCTCGGGATAGGGAAATCTTCCACAGCTGGAGGAAACCAGGCTCCCCTAACCCCAATTATATTTTTCCTCCAACCCTTCTTGGATTTGATCTAATCTGTGCAGATGGACCTCTTCTCAATGGGGTAAAGGTGGTAAAACGATTCATCAATCCTGATCTTGCTAACCTTGTAACAGCGGATAAGATCTATGAGGTCCAGATCTAGACCTCTGTCACGAATCAGAAGTAGCATAACAGACAAAATCCTAAGGAAATTTGGGTTTACTTGTAAAGGGGAAAGTTTCAGTTTGTTGAAAACATAGCAAAAGAAGGGATGCAAATGGAACCTAAGGAGGTTATGATGAAGGAGTGAAAACAGAACCTCGCCGGGAAGAAGGCCAGCACCGGTTCTAATATTCACCTCTTTAGGGTAATTTCTAATTTGTATATCGTCAGGGAGGTGAAGTTTCATGTGAAGAACATCTAGATCTACAGTCATGGTGTGAATGAATGAAGATTGTAAGGAAGAGAAAGAGGTCTTCCGAAAGAAAAATGCAAATGAAATTAACCTCAGAAAGTGAGAACGACAAAGAGTACTGCAAGGTCACTAGAAGGAAGATCTTTTGCAAGAAATCGCCGGAGAAGATTCGAGCAACAGAAAGTGGGATGGAGATGGTAAAGAGAATCGATGGAACATCTATGAGGCCTATAAAGACAAGAAAGGCCCAAGGGCCGAGGAGTCAGGAAAGCGAGGAGTTTTCTTGAATCCCGAAGCGCCGACCCCCAAATCTAACCGTCCATTCTCCCACGGGATCTTCTCGAGCCGTCAGGTCATGATTAGTAGGCTCTAATAATTACCCCCTAATCAATACGGAGTAATTATGGGGGCAGTTGAGGATGCAAAAAGTGGCATGGGCCGGTTATAGCTAGCTGGCATGGGATCGGATCAAACAATTGAAGTATGGCCCATGCAAAAGCACCACGGAATGGGCCGAGCTTGGAGGATCCACTGAAGAAGATCAAGCCCATTGGAAAGACAGGTCCAAGAGGAAGAAAACCCTTGAATAGGAGCCCTATGTAATCAGTTAGTTAGAGTATTTGTAATAGACTATAAATAGGTCATTACGGAGGGAGTGAAAAAGGGATTGAGGTGGAAGAATTCTAGAGAGAGAAAGGAGAATGAATTTCTTGCATCTTCAGGTTTTCATAGAGGGATTAGAAGGTTGGTTTTGGGTGTTATTATGTCCTTAAATTGATTAAGGTTGACCACTAAGTGAATGGGATAAACAGTATAAATTAATGAACTTTCTATGCTGTTAACGGATGGAAGATAGATTAATTGCTTAATTAAATTTCAGCAATCTAATGGGATTAATATGTTTACAAAACTTGTTTTAAATGCATGATAGAGTCATTTATGTATTGAATTTGATCTATGCATGCTTTGGAGGCTATTTGTTGAAATATAAAATCCTAATCTGCAATTACATGGATTATTGTTTGGATTTAAATTGCTAGAATATTATATATTTTTCTGCAATTAGTTGGATAATGGTTTGGACAGTAAGTTGCTAAACTTTTATTTAATTGTTGTAATTTACATAGATATGGAGGTTTGTATGCACCGGTATGGGACGGTGGCATATTAGGGACGGTTTAGCTTCAAAATGCTAGGACCTAACCTATCGGATTAACGGAATGGATTGTAAAATATTGAATCCTAAATTGTGTTTAAGTCAGATCAACTGACTAAGTTGAGTGACTTCCTGGATTTGTTGGTTGTAGTTAAGTCATATAAGCTGAATAAGTTGAGTGACTATCTGGACTGCGTTTTGTATGTCTCCTCAATGAATAATTGAATGACATACTCTAGTTTCGGACGGATTTTAAATATATGATTATGGTACCACGAGATGAGCTTGAGTCTCAGGCTTGTTGGTTAGGGTGCGTATATGCAGTGGATGCGTAGCTGGCTATGGTAGGTTGAGGTGTACCCTGTTAGGTCTAAGTACTCATGTCCACCTTTGGGTGCATTTTCGCATATTGCCTTCTATTCAGGTTGAGACCCCTATTATAGTCCAGTGAATGTCCCTTAGTGTGGATATATATATGTATGAACTAAATAGATATTGTGAGATATCTAGGGTGTATCTGCGTATCTGGTCACTGTATGGATTGCAGTTAGTTTAGAACATGTTCGTGGGCCTGACCCACTCCTTATTCTTTTCAGGTACAAGACGGTTCCAGCTTTAGAGCTTGATCGTGCTGGTCGAGGACAATTTCTCATTCATCGGATTATGTAGGACTTCTCTTTATGATCTAGCTTAGCTTTATTTTTCAGTTCAATTGACATTTTTATTTAGGGGTTCACCAGATGGATTCCCAAGTTGTACTCATAGAGGTTTTGGATTTGGAGTTTTATTATTCAGTATTAATTAAAGGACTTTATATTCATAACTTTTTCTGCTTTATTATTATTATTTTTCTCTCGGGTTTGGGCCTGGGCCTGATCAACCCATGTCTCGGATCCAAGGGGTATGGCAGGAGTGGCATACTGATCCTTCATAATTTCAGCAATCACCTCTGCATCATTTTTAAATAAAAACTTTATCAAACTTCAATCCAATAACAGTAGACATAGCCATTCGCAAAGCCAAAGCTTCAACCATAGTAGGATTTGCTGAGAAGAAGAATTGAGTTGCATTGATAACAACCCCATTACTATCTCGCAGCACCATTCTGCCTCATACCAAACACGAAGAAGCACAAAACTGGCATCAACATTTACCTTTACACAAACCTCTGAAGGGGACTACCAAGTTTGTGGCTCAAAATTTATCTGTAAAAAATTAGTTTCCTTTTTTTGTTTTAGAAGGTTGAAAATTGTAGAGGAAAGTGTATCCCATTATGTTTATATTTTAGAGTTTTGATCATTATGGTAACTTCTTGTAGGCGAGTTGAGGAATACTTGTCCAACAAAGAATTGGGTTTGAAGACTCTATATATAGAGATGGATATGAGAGGTTTAGAAAGAGAGAGAATGGAGAAAAGATGTAAGGGGTTTAAGGGTGAGTGCTGTGAGAAGATGTGAGAGTATATGTAATTCCCGAGTGTATACGTGTAGCCTCAAAAGAGATGATAAGTGAGTAAGTGGGGTTTTGACATGTAGTTGTATATTCTCCTCCTTGATATATAATAATGAAATCTCTCTCTTCCATGAACGTAACCCTAGAGTTGGGTAAACCATTTAAAGTATTATGTTGTGCGTGGATGTGTATGATTGTTATATCTATATATGCTTGTGTTGATGTGATGTGATGATACTTCCGCTGTGTGTGATAAAGGTGGAATTTAACTCTCAACAACACCCGACCGTTGAGTGGGTTGGAGGGAGTTAATTATCCCCAACAACTGGTATCAAAGCCGATGGTGGGTCAGAGCCTTTGATTGGTCCTGAAGATCAGTAGAAGAAGATTGCTGCAAAGTTTGTCATAACAGAAGATGATCGTGAGGTGCTATAGAGATTCAATCAGAAGTTGATAATGAAATGAATGTATGAAAAAGGCGGTAGAGATGAAGCCCACGAGAAATAAGTTTTGGGGACAAGTTAAGAGTGAGTGCTAGTTCTCAAGATGGGGCAAGGAGTGAAAGAAAGAAGGGGTTTGTTTTAAGCCCGATAAAGAGCAAAGGGGAATATGAAGAGTAAAAATAAGAGATTTGTTGCTTTGATCTAGAAAAGCAATTGATGAAGATGAGTTGAAAATTGGTGGATTGCCATGCGTGAGCAATTAAACACCAATGGGATGGATAGAAAATATAGAAGAAAAATGAAGAATGACGAATTTGAGAAAAGGTGGAGATTGTTAGAGTGTTTTTCAAATTCATCATAATGTTTTATTTAAGATGGAGAAATCTTTAATTGAGGTGGAGCTATGAAGAGATTCTTGTTCGAGATAGAGCTATGGAGAAGCACTTGAATATGGAATTTTAAGCCAAGGTGAAGATTGTTGGGTTTGTGGCTCAACATTTATGTGCAGAAAATTAGTTTCCATTTTCATTTTAGAAGGTTGAAATTTGTAGAGGAAAGTGTATCCCATTATGTTTATATTTTAGAGTTTTAATCATTATGGTTACTTCTTGTAGGCAAGTTGAGGAATACTTGTCCAATAAGGAATTGTGTTTGAAAACTCTATAAATAGAGATAGGTATGAGAGGTTTAGAGAGAGAGAGAAGGGATAAAAGATATAAGGGATTTAAGGGTGAGTGTTGCGAGGAGAGGTAAGAATATATGTAATTCCCGATTGTATATATGTAACCTCAGAAGAGGTGTTGAGTAAATAAGTGGGGTTTTGACATGTGGTTGTATATTATCTTTCTTGATTCATAATAGTGAAATCTCTCTCTCCTATGGACATAACCCTAAAGTTTGGTGAACCATGTAAAATATTGTGTTGTGCGTAGATGTGTATGATTATTATCTCCATATATGCTTGTGTTGATGTGATGTGATGATGCTTTTGTTGTATGTGATGAATGAGGGATTTAACTCTCAACAATAGCCGACTGTTTTTTATTTCTAGAGAAAGTTTTATGAACTTACAATAATGTCTTTTCTTTTATAGTAAAAAAAATGATAATTTCTCATATTTTTCTCGAAATTTTTTCATGCTAAGCAAATACACAATGAAAATTTTAATTTATTTTCATTCACCTTTACTTTCTTTTACTTTTACTTTTACTTTCCACTATTAATTTATTTTTATTTTTTTTATTTATTTTTTTTAATCTTAGAAGTTGAGAACTCGTCCTTCCACTTTGAAGGGTAAGAAAGTAAATTGGACCAATAGAAATGATAATTGATTATGAGTAAACTTGAAGGTAAACAATTTAGATTTTTAGATCTTACACTATTGTGATTATTAATTAAGAAGGAAAATGAATTTTATTTTATAAATTAGGTTCTTGCATGCTGACTTTCGAAATTATTTTTTTTTATGCCTTTCAATTTATAATTCTACTTCCAAATTTACCATTATTTAGTAAGAAAATCTCTATAATTTATAATTATGAAGCAGTTAGTTCTTTCTTTTCTTTTTTTTTTTTTTTTTTTTTTTTAAGCAAGAATCGAAACCTAACACTCCAAAGTTTACCGGAGGTACTAACCTACTAAGCTATCGAGACATCTGCGATCTGCAAACAGTTCTTAGTTCCTCTGTTTGTTTGTTTGTTTTTTTTTTTTTTTTTAAAACTCTCTTCTTCTAATCATGCAACATCTGAAATAGATTCTCTTAAAGTAATTTCTTAAAGAATATAAAATATTATGTTTTGGAGAATTGAATCCATGTCTTGAAATTAGAATTGTAGAAAATTTAATTCAAAGTTTTAATTATTATTTTTTTAAATTTTAAATTCAAGGCATAAAATTTAATATTACCAAACTAAACATATGAATTTTATTTTATCAATTGTATTTACACATCTTATAAATTTTATTTTATACAATTGTATATACACATCTTATAAATTTATTTACTATTCAATATGGCTATTTCAAAGTACTATAATAAATGTGTCCAACTTTTCACCAACAGCTAGGCAATAATGACATTTGCTTGCTATGGCCCATGGAAGAGGTAGTACTCTTAGTGTCTAAATTACTACTATTTAATTGTCAAAGAAAGAGGCTAAAAAAAAAAAAAAAATTGTCAAAGAAATGAGAATATGATAGTTGATAGAAATATAATAATAATAATAATAATACATAATACATGATACATAATTTTTTATTTTTTTAGAAAGAGATAAATTGATTATTTTTCTATTATTAAGGTTAAAGTAAAAATAAATAAAATTCATTTTCTAAATTAAAATATAATTATAATTGTAAGAAATTTCAAATTAATAAAATTTTTGTCTTGTAGTTAGTAATGGTCCAATTTAGCCTAAAAACAATGTAGAAAATACAAAAAAGTAATCACATGACGTGCCCGCAATCCAGCCATTTCTCTCTTACATTACAGTAATATCGTAATAAGGCCATATTCTAGGGGCATTATCGTAAGAAACAAAAAATATGCCAAAATCTAGAAAGCCGTCATCTCTGTCCTCCATTACTTCTCATTGGCCGCACTTACAGAAGAGGAAAGAAATATAATTTTCTCTCTCTACTCACTGCCACCTACACCACCACCGCCACTACCATCTGGATCTCCACAGAGAGATAACAAAATTTATTGAGAGACAAAAGGTAACACATACATATATATTTGTGTATATACCAAGTTTATTTATAGAGAGAGAAAGATGATACAAAAGAGTGGCTTTTGCTCTTGTTATTTTCTCTCGAATTCAAAGCTGATATATTCTCTGTTTCAGTTGTTTGTTTGTTAGTTTTTAATTTTTATACTGAGTGACTATGCTTCAATATCGCACATATATACATACATATGCATGTAAGTATATATATATATAAACAGAGCTCAAATGTTGTTTTATTAGGGTTTCTGATGAAGAATTAAGTAGGAACTTTCTTTCTCCGTCCTCTTTGTTCTCTGTTTTGTGTGCTGAAGCTTATTTCAGGTAGCTGAGGATTGACCGATGAAATTAGGTAATGATTTATTGTTTCGGTTTGATCCATTGGAAGTTTTTGATTTATTCATCTTTGAATGCTTTTAGATTGAAGGAATCCAACGAAGGGTTGTGAGATTCGAAAATTGTTAGGGTTTTGTATCGGTTTTCGATTTGATCTGGTCGAAAAACGAAGAGTCTTTGCCTTCTTTGAAATCGTACAGTAATAGCATTGATACTCGTGGATTTAGATCTTTAGATTAATCATGAACTCCAGCTTGATGCGTTATCAGTCGGCACCGAGTTCGTATTTTGCGAATTTGGTGAACAGTAGTGGTGGTGGAGGAGATGATTGTACTGATTTTCTGAACACCCATGAGCCTTCGAGTCCTGAAACAGAGAGATTTCTGTCGAGATTTATAGCTCGTGGTGATACAGAGCACAATTTGGATGAGATTCAACAGAATTCTTCGGTTAACGAAGCTGAAAAATCTCAGTTTTTGGCGTCGGTGATGGAGGAACCAGAGGAGGTTCATCATCATCAACATCAGATGATTTTTCAAAGCCAATCTCAACCACCCTTGCCCAATCATAGCTCAGCAACCTCTGTTCCTGCCGGTGATGACTCGTATGGAGTGGCTAGTTCGATTCCGATGAATCGTTTGTCTCAGATGAAGATGGGTGGTGGCAACAATTCGAATTTGATTCGACATAGCAGTTCTCCTGCCGGATTATTCTCCCACATAAATGTTGAAAATGGTACACCTTTTAGCTTCTTCACATATTTGGTTCTCTGATTGTTTATCTTATAGTATATGAAACAATTCATTGTGTAAGGCTATTCTTTCAAGACTCAAATAGGTTTTTGATTTATGCGAAATTGCTAGTAGATTGAAATTCAAGTAAATTATCACACTCTTCAATAACACACAAGGTTGCAAACCATACAGTTGAATTAAGTCTTCAATTAGCAACTAAAGATTTTTTTTTTTTTTTTTAATATGAAAAAGATGAAAATGGACTAGTGTTAGCTTCTATGCATATGATATGATCATATATGTAATAGATGTAGTTGGTTGGAGCATGGTTTTAGATGTAAACATGGGTGAGAAAGTGGTTGTATAAAATTTGACATTTTGATTTAAACATGGATGGGAAAATTTTCTGGTTTCTAGCCCTTTAATTCTGTGCCAATTTCCAAATTTTTTTCGGTTATGATTAGGATTTGGGAATGCTACTAAACTTTTTTAGCAATCGACAGGCTATGGTGTTGTGAGAGGCATGAGAAATTTTGGATCCGGAAATGGTGCTAACGCGGAAGGGTCATTTTCCCCTGCAAGCAGGTTGAAGGGCCAAATGGATTTGTCATCCGGGCCATCTTCTTCTTCGGGGCTAATGAGTCATATTGCTGAAATTGGGACCAAAGACATAGGAGGTAGTAGCCCTGAAGATGGAAGTTTCAGGGAAGGTCGTAGAAACAATGGTGGGTACATCACAGGTTTTCCGATTAGTTCTTGGGATGATTCTGCGATCTTGTCTGATAATTATCTAAAGAGACTTGGAAATGATGACAATAAGACATTTTCTAGTTTAAATACATCCGAAAATCAGGTATCATGTTTCTGACCTAATGTTATTTGTTTCCTTAACGAATCTAATCTGATCATAGTTCATGTTGATGTTCAGAATGTAGAAGTTGGGAATCGCCCTCCCCTATTGTCCCACCACTTGAGCTTGCCAAAAAGTTCCACGGAGCTGGACAACTTGTTGCAGTTCCAAGATTCTGTACCTTACAAGATTCGAGCCAAGCGGGGTTGTGCAACTCACCCACGAAGTATTGCCGAAAGGGTATGGCTTTCTTAGTTATTTTAAATTCTTCACTGTTAGTTGTATTTGTTCATAAATCTTGTCCATATACAAACTTAAGAATCATAAACAGTTTATATGTTCTTGGGGCTCTCTGCTGGTCTAAAGTTGCGATTGTCAAATCCATATTCCGATAATTCATTGTTTGTTTTATGTAATTTCAGGTGAGAAGAACCCGAATCAGCGAAAGAATGAGGAAATTGCAAGAGCTTGTCCCAAACATGGACAAGGTACACAATCTTCACTTGGCATTTCTTACTTAATACCTAATATCATTAATGTTTACAAGGAAAATTCTTTTCTGAGTACCTGTTAATTAAGAAAATAGTATTTTCAAAGTGTAACTTAACTGATTAACCGGTGGGAATGGAAAAAATGGACATTAAAATGATGACATCACCTCGACTCCAAATGAAATTACTACTTTTCGCATTATTCCATTTTCAAACTTTAATAGCATTGCTGTACATATATAGAAACTTGGGAGTTAAAATCTTCCTATATTTGCAGCAAACAAACACATCAGACATGTTGGATTTGGCTGTTGATTACATTAAAGAACTTCAACAAGAAGTCAAGGTATGTTCCACAGAATTTGACCTAAAACCTACAATCCCCTTCAAATATATGGATTACTCTCGTAAGATTTTTTATTTATTTTTTGAACTTTCAGTGTCTTTCTGATAAACGAGACAAGTGTACGTGTTCCAATAAGCAGAAGCTATAACTCAAAAAAAGCGTAAACCGGACTCGCTTCTGTACAGAATATAAGGAGAAGGGGCTGTTGGGAGAGAAGATGGAAGAAGAAAAAGGGTTCTTTTAGGCTCTGGGAAATATGTATGTAGAAAACTGATAGTCTATGTATTATGTGAAGTAGAGGTAGAAGAAAATCTACTAATTAATGTGGAAGTGTAAGATTCGGACCCAGACCTATTGATGGTACAAATGAAAGCTAACTGTATGTTTAATTACCATGTGTTTTTGGTTGAGGAGCTCAACCAACTTCAGGAAATGCTGTCTAGAGAGAGAGCAATGGGTTATTAAATGGGTCGGAAACACCTTGATTTTTCTGTCCTTAGCAATAAATGTGATATAGGAATTGGGGGTTGTTATTTAGGAGCAAGAGGAATGTGAAGTTAGAGAGAGAAAGTGGAATGTTGAAACAGAGAGACGATGTGAAATGGGAAAAATTTAGACAATATGGTCGAAAAGGGTAAGGATGGGACAGTGATTTTTATAAATTTTGCTTGTACAATTGCGTCTGTAACTAAAAGTGGAAAACTTTCCCATTCTTGATTGGGTAAAGTTGATTTAATTAAACAAAAATAATGAAAAGTTTGCCTTTTTAAGTTAAATTTGATTAAGTTGAAAATAAGTTGACGCATCAAACCTTACTATGGTCGGTAAGTGACTAATTAATGAAATGACAGCTTTTGATGGGGCAAAATCGTACATTAATTAGTTACTTACCGACTATACCCTTAAAAGTCTTGCATCAAACCTGACACCTTCCAATCGTACCCCTAAAAAGTCTTGCATCAAAACCTTTCTTGCTAACTTAACCAAGTAATGATATGGTCAGCATCTTGCTTCAATTTTCCAAAAGAAAAAATGAAAAAGAAATGGGCAAGAGAGTTGGAATTCTCAACTAAATATTGGTGTTGTAGCGCATGAGACGTTAGTTCGCATACAAATAATGAAAGACAGCATACATACAGACGATAAGAGACGATAGTCGTCTGATGTTGTATATCATCTGTGTTTATTATAGGAATTCATATTCTTTTTATTAAGTTGGTAGCGCACAAACTCTTTATTGTAATTTCTCAAACGTTTTTTTTACTATAATCTCTTAAGCGTGGCGAACATTCACACGTGTAAATAATTATAGCCATTCTCATCAGCGGTATGTGCCGACGAGCCGATAGAGCACAGGTTTCCAACGCAACTAGAGCATAGGATCCCAACTCAAAGTCAGTAATGTAGAAAGGGAAAAGCTATGAATGTACATGGACGGAGGGGGATAGCGGGGAGCCAATGTATGAGTCAGCATCTCGTTGGGGGCAAATCCAGCTGAAGTGATATCCACATCACAGATGACGTCATCCATCTCCATAAAGGAAAGATACTTTTAATGTCGTTTAGTGAAGACACAGTCGCTATTGATTCTTCTAGATAGCGAGGGCATAGTTTGGAAGAGGGCTTGGTGTTATGGTGGGCCTCCATTATTATTGGGCCTTATCAAGGTTTCCCTCTCTCCAAAGGCAAAGGAATGATCACCTATGCATCTTTACACACTAAGAAAGATGCTCCAATATGTGCACAACTCCTCCCACTCCCCGGAACCCTAGGGACCACCCTGTGAGAAGAGGTTTGGTCACTTTTATGGCTACTCAAAATGTTGCTAATTCATCCACTTGGTGGTAAAGGCGGGAAGGATAGGAGGAAGGAAAGTTGAAAAGGGTAAAAAGGGAAAAAAAAAACAAAAAAGGAAAGGAAAGGAAAGGAAATTGGATCTATCATTTTAAGAGTAGTTCTCAATAGTGGAAGAACGAATAAATGAATCGGATATTTTTCTCCACGTTACACGTAGTTAAATTAAATTAAAATTTGATAATCAGTTTGTTAGATGTACGCCATTTTACCTTCACATGCAGCGAAAATGTTTTTCTTTTAAACTTATAATCTCCCGGTTATAGTGAGAAAAGCCTAGTCTTTGACAACCAATATGGTTTGTATTTATCAATATATTTAAAGACCATATGGGCAATAACCCAACAGGTACAAACCCATCTCCCCAAAGAGGAGGTTGGGGTTCAAGCCTCTATGGCAGCATGGGTGTGTGATAGGAGTGGACAATTAATTTATGAATATGCGAATTCGATTCGATCCGTGCGAATCGGATAGGATTGCTACACCAACGGATCGGTGGCAGATTCAAAAAAATCAAATTCGATCCGATCCGTGAAATTTATATATATATATATATATATATATATATATATATATATATAAAGAATATATTAATTAATTTAATTAGTTAATGATAATTTAATGGACTCTAATGATGTATTAGTTAATAATTATTTAAATATATGAATTAATATTAATAAATTAAAATTTTATGGTAATAGTTAAAAGATTAATAAATAATAAATAAGATTAATTATATAAATAATAATGTATAATTTAGATAAAACTTAATCTGCATATCCAATCCGATCCGATCCGTGGGATAATCGATCGGTAACAGATTAAATTTGTCTAATCCGTTGGGAGCGGCAATCCTAATTCGATCCGATCCGTAGCCACCCCTAATATGTGAGTTTGCTTAACCTTTAAATATATATATATATATATATATATATATATATATATAAATTGGAAATAACAATGCCTATGTGTTAATGGTAAAATAAAGGTATCTCTTTTTCTTCATTCCTACTTTTTTTCCTACTCAAAAAAAATAAACAGATAAAAAGACACACTCCATTTCTTGAAAAGAATCTTTTCCATCCTTTGTTACTTTCTTCTTCTCCTCTCAAATTTGATGCCTTCTAGTACCAAAAGGAAGAGATGCCTTAATTAACACAAAATTAGCCGGACCATCATAATGTTAGAAATTAATTAAACCCTAAACATGTTAAAGATAGAAAATATTTAATATTACACAAAAATTATTGTTAAAATCTCATGCAACTCAGTACTAATATTGTGAAATACATGTTTTATAAAATTAAAAATTAAGTATTAAAATTTTTAAGAGCTGACTGAACTGAGGCATTTTTAAGTCATCTTTTTTTTTTTTTTTTTTTTTTTTTTTTGGTTAAAAGATTTTTAAGTCATCTTGTGAACATGTAACGTCACTTTTTTTGTTTGGATTTAGTTGTCCAAGTCATCATATGGGCCAGAGAATCCAAAGGCCGAACAGAAAGTTTTTCTCCAAAAAGAATGTCAGCTTGAGAAGGCCAAGCCCAAACAAGTTAAGAGTGTGATGGGTCGAACTCAACATGGCTAAGCTTGGGTAAATGTTTAAGTTCCATAAACGAGCTTGGTTTTGACCAAATTAGCTAAGCAAGTCAAATGAAGCCCAATTCAGTTCAAAAGTTGGGTTGTTCGGCTAATGCTTTTGTTTCGGTATTTTTTGTTTTTGTTAGTGTATTATAGTGAAGCAAAAACATAAAGTATGTTTTGTAACATTTGTTGTTATTTGAATAGTACTGAAACGCTTCTAAAATTGAGGCCAAAATCAGAAGCATAAAAATGATGCTTTTGTTTGCTTCGGCAAGCAAAGCATTGTTCAAAGAAAAAAAAAAAAAAAAAAAAATCTAAAAAGACATTTTTAACTAGTCATCCAAATTTTTAAATTTGAACACTCTTTACCAAATATGTTTTCATATTTTTGCTTCAACAAAACTTGCACCAAATTTACTTTATTAAATAAATTTCGAAATAGTGTTTAATACACTCTAAAATAGAAATATTACTTCTGTTTAGAATTAAAGCAAAAACATGGAAAAAAAAAATAAATAAATAAAACACTATTGCCAAAACTTTGTTCATTTCAATTGCATCCCTACCCACCCACAATTAGTTGAACTATTGTGCCCATTTTTTTTTTTTTACTTCTTTTCTTGATGGGATAATTTTATGGCTAAAACATGACACGTGGGAGACCATTACTAAAATTTTGACGAAAGTAATATATATATTATCATAAATTTCTTTTTAACTTTTTAGAAGAACCACAATCAATCATTGAATTATTAAATATTTTGCGTCTTCAAATGTCTAACTTTAAGTACACCTGCATTTAATAACAGTCCTTATTTATTGATTAATTTAGGATGGTTTTCAAAACATGGGGATGATTTTGAAATAAAAGTTTCTTAATTTATTTGATAAGTAAATATATAATGCATATAATTTTTTCTTTATATAATGCAAAATTGACACCTCTGACTTTTTACATGAGCCAAAAAGAAAATTATAGCATCTGTGGTAGTCACCTGCAATATTGTTGAAACAAAAAATTCTAACGGTCCAAATCTTAATAGAAATTCAAACAATTAATTTAAATTGTCGGTTGTTAGACTAACATTTTATGTGAGAAATTATTAAAAATTTGGATAGTCAATATCAAATAGTCAATTGTCCGACCAACATTTCATGCGAGAAAGTCGACTTTAACTCTGAATTATTAAGGGGTTCCATAATGCAGTGTCACAACATCTAGAATTTTTTCATACACCAACTTAGATGCATGCACAAGAATGGATGAACACCAGCCTTTTTTGTCATACCAATTGATGTTACTCGTGTCACAACCCTTAAATGGTTCATGCTCTTGTTTATTGGATTAGATTTTTCACAACCCCAAACACGTCACAACTGTGGCGGTGCTAAACATTGATGTCTATGTTGTACTATGGTGTTTCGTCAGTCTCCCTCTTGAGTGGAAGTGGGACCCATATCCTTCCTACTTTTTCAACGAATCAGAAATCACGCGGTCAACGCTTCATCATATATTGGCAGATTTTATTGACTTTTATTGCAAACACGGCGTTACCTGTTTGGTTAATGGGCACTATGGGTAATTTAATTTTCTCACAAAATAAATAAAATTTTGTCAATTAAAAAACAAAAAAATTATTTTTAAATGGAGTTCTTTTTAATTATGATTTGCAAAGTGGTTTAATCAAGACCCGCTAACTTCTTTATATCGTTTAAAGCACCAATATACCGCTCCATTTTTCACAAGTTGCATAGCAAGGTCAAGCTTCTTTTTTATTTTATTTTATTTATTTTTATAATTAGTAGAAAAATTAACGTGCCTTACACGTGGTGAGAAACGTTTATAAATAATTTTATTTAACTTTTTATTTTTTTGAACTATTATTTTGTTCATTTAACAATGTATGTAGATGTTTCATTGAGTTTTTTTTTTTTTTTTTTTAAAGACAAACAAACT